TGTTGTATTCGAGCTGGCTTTTAATTCTAAGATTCAAGATTCAAGCTGGCCACAAAATGCTAATTGTGATTACCATTGATGACACACCACTCCTTTATCACTCTGCAAACTACCGCCCACCCCAATTCATACAATTGTTTACAAGGTGTTACAAGATTAGATGCATGTTTGAGAATGTGGAGGTATTGAGTGTGATGTGATGGAAAGGCATAAACAAGCATATAACATGCATTAACAGATGTATTGTATAATAAGCTTAGAACTAGATCTATTATGCTTAAATTTCCCTTCTCTTCTTTGCCCCACTTCTCTCTCCTTTCTCTTATTCCTTCTTTCCTCCCTCAATCTTCCCAAAAGTGTGTAGGTAAAATAGAGACAGATATGCATATGTTACAATGAAAAGGAGATTATTATATTTTACAGCTCTCATAAATAACATCATATAATTCAACCTTGTAAATTTCATGCTCCAGTAGCCTAAGATTGCTTACTGGTTACATTTAATATTCACCAAGGATAGTTTAGTTTGTGATTTAACTTCTGTAGAAAATGGGACAAACACCACTCCTAATTTATATTATTTCAAAAATCTTTGATCAATAGTCAGAACCAAAATGAATGAATGAAACAAGCAACACAATGGAATATTGCAAAGCATACGAATGATACAACATTAAACATGCCAACTTTTAATAAGAATCTATGCTCTGGAAGTATTATTGGTATCTAAGAGCATTTTACAGCATACATTTTAATGACATTTATGTATGTTGGGTAATTAGCTTACCATTTTTCTAAATATGGAATCATATCTTTTTAAATGACTGATATTAGTAAAATGATAATGAGTGGTTCAGCAGATGAGAATAAATTTTAGAAGCTTGGTTTTCTGATTATTGTCCTGTTTTGAGAAATTAACTTGGCTTGTTTTTCTCTTAAATAAGGGTGGTACTTATCAGTTTAATAATTGACATTTTTGGGAGAATTATTTATTCTCTAATAATTGGGAAAATGATTCAGATAACAACATGCTTATTATGTTATTTTTAATGGTGTTTTTTTAATAACTAAATAGGAGCCTTGATGGCATAGTATTGAAGCACTCTGTGCTAACCAAGAGGTCAGTGGTTCAAACCCACCAGCTACTCTGTTGAGAAAGATGCAGCAGTGTCTCTGTAAGGATTTACAGCCTTGAAAACTCTATGGGCAGTTGTACTCTGTCCTATAGGACTAGTATGAGATGGAATTGATTCGATGGCAGTGGGTTTGGTTTTGATGAGTTTATAAGTAAATATATTATTCTGGAAGAGAATACTTTTTATTCTTGTAACTTAGACCTAGTTCTTTAGAGTATCAAAATTAATAAATTCTTATTAATTCAATAAGATTTCACTATATCTATGTATCTATATCTATCTATATACTCTTTTTATAATTATGGAAACATATGCCACAAAAAGAATTTCAGTGAGATATTTATAATAGATAAATTAAAAAAAATGACTTAAGTCAAGGTTATAGTATCTGACAATGTTCCTTTAAATTCTAGAATATATCTAACAGCAAAAATATTTTCATCATCACAATGTGCTTGTTTTTTCTTCTCTGAGTCATGTGCTTTGTTACTATACAGCTATGACTATGATTTATGGGTTAAATGCATATAATTAAACTTCATAAAAAGGGAAAAAATAACATATCTTAATGATCAAATAAGAATGGCCTATCAAAATTATTTATTTCACAAATTATGTATTTGGTGGAATAAGGCAATTTTCAGATGAGTCTTATTCTGGAATTGCAGGTCTATCTGGCCATTTACAAGGTAGACTTTATTGTGCTTAGTATAGGTCAGCCATTCAAACCCACCAGCTGCTCCATGAAGGGAAGATTGGGTATGTACTTCCACAAAGATTTACAACCTCAGAAACCCAACAGGGATGCTATGAGTCAGAATCGACTCAATGGTAATGAGTTTGGTTTTTGGTGTGAATATGACAAGTTACTTCTCTAGCATTTGTCTTACTAATCCAGCCTGGTCTTCCTTTAATCACTGTTTTTGTGTTTTACTCAAGTGACATTGCATGGCCTAGGTTTATAGAATACCATGAGGTGAAATACATGGGCCCAGGCATGCATCTATACACCCTGCAAAATGTTCTACTTCAACTTAAAGGCAGGGTGAATGGTTTCAGTATTGGCACGGGGAACTCAGGGCAGGAATCATGTAAGGTTTTTTTTTTTTTTTTTTTTTTTTAAGGTACTTAATGAGAAAGAGAGGAAATACAGAAAGCTAAGGGAAAGCTAGTAGGTGGCCAAAAACAACAGCAGGTGTGGCCATATGGCAATCAAATTAGAAAGGGCTTTTTGCCACACTGCTTCTAGAAGATGCTAAAGCCAGGCAGCATCATGGAGAGATGATTTACTCAGTACATTTTAAGTGTTTCATATCTCCTCTTTCACTGTTGAATATTGAAAGGAATTTAAGTCTATCACACCAAATAGATATTGAAGAATTTTCTTTAAGAAAACAAATAATATGTTCTAGAGAAATTTTACTTCTACATTTAGAAGAGATTACTTTGCCAAAGTAAATTTTGCACATTTATTGGCAAGTATACCATTTGCTAAGCTGAGACCATTTTCCGCAAACTAAAGCTTGATAAGCCTAAAATTTAAGGATATGATTTTAACAAAATATTTACTTAGGAGATAATTTAAAATTCTATCATTTCCTACTTCATCCATGAAAATCTCTACTACTGTAAATAAAGTTATTTGTATTAGAAGTCCTTAACCTGTAAAATAATTTTTTCCAGAAGTTTTCTTAAAGCATATTTCCTTGTAAAAATAAATTACTGAAAATATGTTTTAGTTCTCAGATTTTCTGTCGAGAACTTGTTTTACCTACAAAATAAGTGAGGCTATATTACTAACAGTCTTAAATGTATTATTGGTATCACATCATGTTGCTATTAGTTTGGCAATATTCTCAGGCTACTAATGTGTGTGTGTGTGTGTGTGTTCTAGCCTGGGAAAATTTCCATGTTTTGTCTTTTTTTTTTTCTTTTTCAAACTTAAGGAAAATAGAGTCTATGTTGAGAAGCCACAGAGATTCATAAAAATTTCTCCTCCTCAGGTCTTGTGGTGGTTGTGACAAACTACCTATAGTAAGAATAAAGACAGTGGTTATATTTCAGCCTTAAGTTCTGTCATTTGTTATGCTTACAGGTAGTGCCATAGTCCATTTTTCCATGATCAAAAGTTTTTGAGCAAAAACAATAAAAAAGATAATTATTACCAGAAAAAATAATGGCTAATAACGTAAGAATTATTTGGTGACAATTATTTTTCCTAAACAGCATTATTATGTTTATTTTGAATAAAGAGAAATACTCATGTATATGTAAAAAGTGTGAACTTATAATCAGTAAATTATTATAGAGCCTATTAGACTTCTATTAAAATTAGTTAACACAGCTTTTGCTTGATGAAAGGACCAATTGTGTGGTTTTCAAATTGACTTGCTTTAGGGAATTTGATTATTTTTGGCTCAACAACCTAGCTTTTAACATTTTTTGATGATAAATTTAAAAGGTATAGAAAAAGAAAACAATCATAATACACATCATTGCCTCCATTACTCTAAAGTTACAACTGTCAGCATTTTGGCATACTTGCTTTCAGTAACTATTAAAATAAAATGTATGTTAAAGCCCCCTTACTCCACTTCTAGTGTTTTCTCTTCCCACGCAAGAGTCAACTACTAATATGAGTTGGGTATTTTTTTTTTTTTTACTTTTCATTAAAAATGTACATACATATATATATTTATTAAGAGTATATTGTTTTAAGTAATTTGTGGCATAGATTCTTCATCTTTTTTTCTTTAAATCATTCAATTTGGTTTTTGTGATCTTTCCTGTCGACAGATATAGATCTCCCTTTTAGCTATTTTACAACATTTTACATTATGAATAGAAAACATTTTCTATATCCACTCCCCTATTAATGAACATTTATAAATTCTTTCCCTAATACATTTTCTGGTATTCCATCAATGCTTATATTTAATTAACATTTTTATAATCACAAATATGCTAGTACTTAGTATTTGCATGTTTTGACCTTTAACAAACCACTTTTGAGTATTTACCACTGTAAATGTTTTCTGTTTCAATTATGCTTTAAAATGGCAAATAATTCACTATATTATTTTTAACATAAAATGTAATTTATTCAAAATTTACATTAATCTTTCTCATAACCAATCACTTCCATTTAGTCTTCCTGTCACACTGAAGAATGAAAATGTAATTTCCCACAGGCTTTAAGAAGTGGGGGAGTATTAAATGTAGCTGAAATTAAGTGATTAATAATTTACTTTTGAGTCATGAATCAACTTCATGGGATCCTAAAGATCATTTGCTACCACAGAAGCACTAGAAGTAACAATGCACTTTTTAAGTCTTGAGAACTCTCAAAGTTTGGCTGCCCAACCTAATTAAACTTCAATCTTCTGATACCAAATTTATTTCTTCTTTGTACTGAATTTCCTCAGATCTTCTTGACAGGAAAATGTCACTTTGCCTGACAGCTGATAGACAGGTTACGTAGTACCATAATTGGAGAGAAAAGGCTAACTTAAAGCTACTTGATTTAATGGCTATGTGTATGGTTTTTTCTTTCTTTTTATTTCCTTTCCTTTCCTTTTTTTTTCCCATTAAAAAAAGGTTTCTATGACAGACACAAAAGGCCTAAGGAAAAAGGCCAGTGCCATTTTTCCCCTGCTTCTTCTAGAGGTAATTATCTTACTCCATCAATAGTGCTGTCAGAAATTGGGCACATAATTCAGCATTTAAATGAACAAGCAATGTAATATTTCCTGTCTCCCAGTGGGATGCTTTGCAGCTTGCATTCTTCTCTGTCACTCGCTCACTCTTGATGTATGTACCATATCCAGTCCTTGAATGCCTTCTCTCCCTTGTGCTTCATTGCAGATGTTGGCTCCGACTTGACACCTACTTCATTTGGAGTTTTATAGGACCAGCAACCTTGATAATTATGGTAAGAACCCCTAATTAACTATGTGTTTCCCAGGTGAAGAAATAAAAATTTCACTGTCCCTATACAGTATAGTTTTCATTTACATAAGTTTATTTGGGGAAAGCATGCACTTACTTGACCCTATGTAACTTAAGCAATCAGAGAGTTATTATAGTCTGCTTTCATGTTGTAAATAGTTGATAAAAACCACTGGAAGAAGAAAGCATGGATTTGAAAGAGTTTATGTAATGCTGTAGCAATTCAGCAGTCCAGTCTAACATAATCCATCTAGTTTGTAGACACTTGAAAAGTAAGGACTAAGTTTGATAACAGTATTTTCCTTTTGTGTTCATTCTTATTCAAAATAGAAATGGAATCAGAGAATGAAAGAAAATACAAAGAGTTACCATTCCATGTGGGCTTGTCTGTTTTTTCCTAAATCTCAAAAACTTAAAAATTTAAGAAGACTTTACTTAAGAAAGTCACAACTAAATAAGGCAAATATGGAATCATACTTCCATTTTCATTTTTAGCTGCATCATATATTGATTTCAAATCTGAATTATTCCTCCTAATCTAGATTTAATTGTTTGTATTATAGTTTATGCATAGAACTTTTACATAAAAAATAGTTATCCATTTTTTAAAATAAAATATTAACCTCATGATATTGAATTAAATATAGGTCTGAATCTTCAAGGCCAGATGTATTTTGGAATTCATAAATTTTCATATTTTAGAAATGTAATATAGTACATATACTACATAGTCTGTAATGCCCCAAGTGGGGAATAGGTTGGTGCTTAATATCAAACATGTTAGCTAATTCTCTCAACTGGGACTAGGTGGCATGCTTAAACCAAATGTAGCACTATTTCAACAGAAAAAAACTAGGATTAGTAAGAGAAAGTAGAACAAAACTATGAAGAAACTATGTCAATTCAAATATGGTTTTCCCATCCATATTGTTCAGTTCAGGTTAGGTAGTTTTTTCTACCAAATATGTATATTAAAACTTTTATTTTCTGACTTTTGGGTGTTGGGGATGATTAATAAAGGAGTATGGACCTGTATTATTGGGAGAATGCCAGTGGAGTTTATACTTGGACATTCCTAATCCCTACCAATCTCAAAATGTGGAACATATAAAGAAATAAAATGATAATGGGCAATTCAATATGTGTTTTTTATATACAGTTTACATGTATATATGGAATTTACACTGTACCTTTTTGTTTTGTTTTAAATCACATTCTTTGGGAACAATGATATAACAATGTCTTTGGGAGTTTGTGGTAGCCTCAGAATTTAGCATTTTATAATGTCAGCTATTCAAAAATATATTCATATTAGTATTTGTGCTTTTGTAATATAATGTCTGAAAATATAATCCTAAACAATAAGATTGAAGCTATGTTCAGTGTATAGAAATAGTAATGCAACTAGAATAATTATTATTTTTCTTTTAAAAAGTACACTGGTAAAAAAGGTTTGAGTTGTTTTAAAATTTCTAAGCATCATTCCAACTGCAGCTGATTCACTATTTGTGTGTGTTTGGCATAGCAGTGCTGTGTAACACAGTGGTATCCCAATTCCCTGAACTGGCTTCTTGCCTTTGCTAAAATACTAGACAATCATGTATGATCCAGTCTCTTTAAAAGTGTAGTGAGAGCTAATTTCCCAGAACAACTCATCTGTTATGGAGAATGGACTATTGGTTTTCCTACTCCAGTTATGTGACATAACACTACCTTTTATATTCTAGCTTAATGTAATCTTCCTTGGGATTGCTTTATATAAAATGTTTCATCATACTGCCATACTGAAACCTGAATCAGGCTGTCTCGATAATATCAAGTAAGTGATTTTTCTTTTTATTTTCCTTTGACTGCCTTACTTTAGTACTCTAAATTTATAAATATATATACTTTATATGTGTTTTATATTTTAACAAAATCTTGGGATACATTGGCAAAAGAAGATAAATGTGTTATCTTTGCTGAATAAAATCTGATAGGTTATTATTAGTTTGATAAATTATTTATTATTATTTTTGGGGAACATGTTCAGGTGACTTGATCTGCCCGAAAGTAGTAAGTACAGTGCAGCTCTGTCTTCAAAGAAACTTTCTCTTCCCCCCTCCCATAAACTGTGATTTACACTATGGCATGTTTCAATATCTATATTTGTTCACTTTGTCCTGAAACAAACTATATTTTTACATCAGGACAGATTACTATTTCTTAGAGCAATAACTGCATCAGTTTTCTACAATCCACTTCCTTTTTCACAGTGATGTGATAAGAGCAGAAGATGATGTCTGCTCATGCTGAAAGGGGGGTTTTGTCCCACAGGAGATAAACCCTGAAATTAGAAATCTGGGGGTTTATGTAGTTGCTGCTACCCAGCTGCACTCCTCTCAAAGATAGAGAAAAACTTCATCTCCTTAATATAAACAAATCTTTGGAATACAAACTGTTTAGCCCTTTTTTCGGGGACACCAAATACCTATTTTAAAACTTTTCACTTTTCCTGTTTTTTTTTAATATTAAAGCATACCTCCTGGGAGGTAAATCTCTCCACTGGTGTCTCTATCTATTCAGTCATCTTTAAACTGTCAAGTTTTGTTCTTTAACTCAAGTTTCACTTCTATATGTTCAGAAAGTCATATCCATGCATAGACATGAAAATAATTACTTTCCAACATTACGGCTGTTTTTTATATAGAAAAAAAGTATGTTAATTTACATTTTCTAAAAAGAAAAATAGTTGAGTTCCTTGGTGTAACCAAAAAACATATCTTGTTCTTTTAAGATCAGTGACATTTGAGAAAGACAGCAACAATGAAATATGATTCAGTCATTAATGCATATCATATATTAAGCTGCATTTTTATGTAATTTGCCAAAACTTGAATAAATATTCTTTGTTTAAATAAATATACTTCTAGAGATTTCTTGAAGTCACTATGACTCACCTGCTCCTGACATTCTCCTTGAACTTCCTAAGATATCAGTTATCTGTCTTTCTACATCCAGTGCCTGACAGAGGTCTCAGCCCAAGGAGTCCCTCAATGAATCTTTAAGGATAAATTAATACATTAAAGACTTTAGTGACAAAGATGTATTGACATACGAGGCTACTTTTATTGTAGAAGACATCTATCTAAATTAATTGAAAGGAGAGACAAGGAATTAGAAAAACAAAAAGTATAATAGAGCAAAGCTAGCAATCATCTACTATGAGCAATTAGATAATAATCCTTATATTATTGAATTATGTAAAATTAAACTGTCTTTGTTAAGTATTGTGGGAATTCCATGGACTATTTGTTTCTGAGAGATTTAACTTGGATTAATTAGACTCATAAAATGTATTTTTTCTTTATATTACACTTTTCTCACTTAAATATGTTTTAGCAGCTACACTTATTATTCTGTATTATAAAATGAAGTCTATGTAATATTTTATGTATCATTTATGTTGTTAAAGTACTATCAGAAAGAAGTGTCTAAAACTTTGATATTTTTGTAATGTATTTTACCAGGTTAAAACATAGATATAATGTCCATTTGTTATCATAATCTTAACGGGTACTTTTTAGTCAATTCCTTACTTTTTTTGGCCAAACCCAGAAAGGCTAAGTCCTTGACATACCTTTAAATTTGAACTTGAGATTAGTATTACCACATATTTTAAAATAATATTTTGCTTTCTCAATTTTCATGTGTTTTCCTTTAGGTAATCTCGGCTAAACCTTTAGGATGTTGTATTTGGAAAACAAGCAAACAAAAGATAATAATTGGAGTTGGTGAAATTGATGACATCAGATTTTATATTACAAAGAAAAATAAAACCTTAAACCAGAATATCTTGATTTGAAATTTGTTAAAACAGATAGGAAATTGACCTAGCCTAGTTATTTAACTTTCCTGAATTTTTCTTTCTTCTTTAAAATGAGTATAATAGCAAAACATATCTGACCATCAAATGAGCAGAGAACTAGCAAAGATATTTTGATCGCATTTTATAAAAAGTTATTAAAAGACAAGAGAGAAATGATTGTTAGAAAGGAGTATAGACGGTTGTATTAATAGGCAAGAGACATGATCATGAATATGCTGATGGGAATGAACTAGTGAGGGAGAGGTTAAAAACATAGTAAAGGGAATCATAGTGGTAGTTACAGACTCAGTTAGTGTTGGGAATGTGATGCAGAGAAATAGTAGAACAATTACACTCCATTAGTTCCCAGGAAGGGCATGCCGGAAGTCGGACCCTTTCACACTTAGTGTGGATGTAGTAAACAAGAATAAGTGTGATGGATGAACTAAATAAGAGTAGTGTTGTTGGAACCAGGGCAGGGCAGACAATTGAGGGATTTTTATGTACTCTCCACTGTGAAATAGAAGAACTGGTCATCTGCTGTGTGAGAAGTGTGTTAATGAGAGATAATAAGGTTGAAACCTTAAGAAAATATTGCCTAGTAATTTCCAGAATCTGAAAGACATTTTATTTTAAAGAATTCTATGAGCTTTATAAGAAGTGGTTAAAAAGAAACCAGCAGGTATATTTGAAAAGGGCAGAAAGTTTTAAGAAATGTAAAAAAAGACTTTGAACAGTAACTAAAAGATAATGATATGTAGCATAATTTTTATTCTTGTATTTATTTTTGAAATGATAAAGGTTGATGTGAGGGAAATTGTTTTAAAGGCATTTTTTTGGAAAGCTTTTTTTTTTTTTTGAGAAAATGTCTGAGGGCTTAAGAGTGCATGATGTTTTTTGGGTTTGTTCTGTTGTAAAATGGTGAGCAACCTGGACCACCTTGATGTTTTTAAGATAAAAATCACTATTTGATGCCTTTTAAGTGAATATCTTTCTAAAATATTCCATTCATATTTCAAATATTTATTGGGCTTATCATAAATGTTCTTTCCTGCATAGTTATCTGTTTTGTATAAAATACGTTCGCTTATCCCAGCATTTACTGCCACCGCCATCATGTAACCTGCTGTCATCTTTTGCAGAACCACTATGTTGTTGTTGTTATGTGCCGTCAAGTCAGACCCAACTCAGCCACCCCTCCTTGGGTTTCCGAGGCAGTATCACTACGGAAGTAGATTGCCCAACCTTCCTTCCAAAGAGTGGCTGATGGGTTTGAGCCACCAGCTTTCTGGTTAGCAGTCAAGAGCCTAAGGCACTACATTATCAGAGCTCCTAATTCCTTACCCTACATTGATCCTTGCCCCTGCCTGCACCAGCTAAAATGATCTTTTGAAAAGTCTGAATCAGATCATGCCTCTCTCTTGGGTAAAATTCCTCAGTCATTTTTCATTCTTGTTACATTAATGTCTAGACTCCCTACCAAGGTCCAGTAGCGCTTCCTGATCTATTTGTCCCCTTCTTTCCCTTCACCCTCATTCAGGCCGTGGGCCCTCTCCAGAGCTTCTGTGTATATTCTCTTTTGCTGCAGGTCTTATTTCTGCTTTTCCTCTGCTGACTTTCTCTTAACTCTATGCCTGGCTGACTCCTGTTAACCCTAATTAATGGAGTTATTATTTCACTTTTAAAAATTATTTCTTAATTCCAAATTTCCTTCAAGGTTGTCTGTATTCAGCTAGTTCATTATTTGACTAATTATATACTCTAGTTGAAAAATAATAAACACGAGTAAATTAATATAGATAAAATGATTACTGAGAAAATTATGCCAAATCTCAGATTTAACTAAGAAAATGAATTAAAATTAATAAGAAGTTTCCATTTGTTGCATTTTACTTGTCATTTTTCTCTTTTCCATTAAAATAGATTATTATATTTGGTAAAACAAAAAGCAACTCTCATTATTTGAATTTTCTGGCTGAGTTTCTGACAAATTGAAATTTGAGCTAAAATCTAACCTAGTTTATTTTTAGAAATATGTAACTATGGATAAGACTATTAGTGAATTGTTATTAGCACAATTGTAATGTATAGTTGGGTTACAGTATTATGAAATGTAAAAGTTTAATTTATGACACGCTCTTGACACTTAAATTCAAAATAAAAATTGATAGTTTCCATGTTACCACCTACTTCTGTCACTGAAAAATATATATAGTAACATGATAAGGACTTTGAAGAATAAAATGTTATAATGAGGCTCTTGGGCCTAAGAAAGAAAAATGGTATGTATATGAAAGCAACAAAATTAACCAGGCTTAACTTTCTTGTGTCTGTTCTTTTATCCTTTCCCATTGACCAATTTCTGCATAAACATTTAATATTGACCTACTCAAGATTTCTGATTTCTGTTCTCACCTTTTAACAGAGATTTTTATATAAGAGATGAGTTGACAAACAAATTGTCTGAGATTTAAAGATGTACCTTTTACTTTCTTTCCTTCTTCTCTGTGCTGTCATTGCATAAGGAAGCCACAATGGCAGAGAGGAGTAATGGCTTCATGCAGACCCACTGGCTTTGAATTTCTGTTTTTCCTGTAATGCTTATATGATGTTGGCAAATTCCATAATGGCTCTCAGGCTCAGTTTCTCCTCTAAACTGGGAAATATTATACCTACTTTGTAGAGTTTTAGAATAATAAAATGTAATTATATGTGTAAAATATTCAGCACATAATTTGGTGACCATAAAGAATGGTTTCATTATTTTAACCATCACTGTATGTGGAACTGCCCAACTGCCTTTGGTTCTTTGTATTTTCTGTAATGAAACTTTGTTCATTCTCCATCAAAATTATATTAGAATTTGATTGGCTTTGTTTACCAAATGGTATCATTAAGAATTATTCATGCTATGATGCTGTGTTTATTTTTTTAAGCCAAATTTATCATATTATGAAAGAATTGGCTCCAGG